CGCGCGCGCGCACCACACACACACACACACACACACACACACACACACACACGCAAAGGTAAAGATATGGATATGTAATAGAAGGGTAGAAATGAGATCAAATAACTGCACTTTGCAAGGGACAAGATGGCGGCCACTATTGGGAAGCTTTAATGAAAATATTTAATATATATAGTTTTAAAAATAATGTGATAATAAAAGGATAAATAGTTTTAAGAACTTTTTAAATTATTTTTTATATTTTAAGTGATAAAATATTTGATAATTGTATATCATAAAATTATTAAGTATAGAATTACAATAAATCCAGATAGCAAGTTAATCTCATTTATCGTCATTTTGAAAATAATATTACTTTGCTAGCTGGGAAATTAGGATAAATTAATAATAATACGGAAAAAAAGATTTGCTGTTATAGGGATAATTAAGACTAATTTGCTGATGTTACTAAATAAATTCACCACTGCGACGAAGAGATTTGTTATTGTTGCTAATGCATCGGCATGCCAATTAATCTTAATTGTCTACTATAACAATACATTTTTTTCCGTGAAATAGTAATCGTATCTTTTTTTTAATAATTTTTTAACATAGAAATATTTTGATAGAAAGAACGAAAAGGTAAAAAATCAAGGATCTTACCCGGAATGCATATTCATATTCATGGTCATATTCATTGATACATTGACGGACATAGCAGCAGATGTAGATCCATAGTGACCAGGACCCGGAACTGATGGGCCTAAATTCTGTACATAGTCTTGCGAGTAATGATGAGCCGCAGCAGTGCTGGCGCCAGTGGTATAATAGCCGGTGGTCGGACTACCGGGATGCACCACTGCGTGCTTTAAGGATAAAAGAACATCGGCTACACCTTCACCGTTTGCACCATTATTTGTCCTTGGTACGCATTCGCTACGCGAACAACCCCAGCTGGAAGAAAAGCCTTAACTTTTACGATTCATCGAGTCGTTGAATTTATGGATACAATACAAATATAAATATAGAAAAAAAGTTGTATGTTGTGTGAAAGAATGGTTTTGTTGAAGTTGAAAAATTTGACCAGCTATGAATCAGAGCCAGAAAATTTGTTGGGACATTAAAATTATATTATATATTTTAATAATAATGTTAAAATTTTATTATATAAAAATTTTAATATTAAATTTTAAAAATATTAAAATTTCATTATACAAAAATTTTAATATAAATTTTAATATAGTAAATTTTAAGCATAATAATAAATTTTTTTATGTTCTTGCAATCGATTTAAACGTCCTACGTAAATATTTTGGCAGCTCGACAAAATTATTTTCAAATCTGATTCAAATTTGTTTAGATACTTCAGCGAAAGTACTTTTTCCGCGTGTATCTATTGTGCGTGTATATATTGAATTTATTTTGTTTCTAGAAATATCTGTCATGGACATTTCTTCACACAGATTAAAATATATAGAATGAAATATAAATTATCTAATAATGAGTAATATTTGAAGAAATGAAGAGACAAAAATCTAAGAAAAAAAGGGAAAAGATTAATAAGTAACTCACTTGTATGTTCCTGAACACGGACTGAACAGTCCCGGAGGCAAAGGATCCAGATCTAACGGGGGTAGAGGAAAACCTGCCATGTCATCAACCCAAAAACTCCCGCCGAACTCACTCACAATCTGACCGGAAGTTGGAAGTTGTTGGCTCTGGTCAGCACCAATATCACTCGGCGAACTCTGCAGGTCCTGCAAACGCAGCGTGCCCTGCAGAGCAGCGCCGAGGACGGCTACTTCTTCGTTTTGATTGTCAGTTGAAAGAGTGTCGTCTCCCGAAAGCACGCCGAGCGGCTCGGAACAGAGGCTGGACGAAATAGTCGCCTCAATGCTGCCCACGGAACCTGCAGATTAAGAAAATATTTTGAATTATCGAAGAAAAATGAAATTTTGATATTTGTTTTGTCAAGACCTTTGAAGAATTTTAAGTTGTACATGACACTTGATCAAATTTTTATGTCCTTATAAATGCGTTCATCGAATGCGGGATGACCCATTATAATTTTTCCAAATGATTATCGAATATGGAATCGAACGAAGTCATATAAAGAAATATGATAAAATGTAGCTAAAAAAATGTAAAGAGAGAAAAATGAAGAAATGACAAATAATCAGATCTATAATCAGATCTATAACCAGAATTTAGTATTAATAAAAATTATTATTTACAAATAATATAAATTAGCCAGTGATCGAAGTGAGAGAAATTGAAAGTTTCATCTGTATTTATAGAAATTGCTTTTCCTAATAAAGTTTTATAATTAATTAATTAGATTTGGCAGAATGTAAAATCGAACGAATATCAAAAACATGTTAAAAAAGACGTGCATGAGAAATATCAAGACGAAAAGTTGTTATTGGCCAGATCATAATGTATATTGAAATAAGATTCGTCGAAAAATTTGGTGTTTTTATTTGAATTAATTTCATTTTTTTATTCCTTGAATCATTTCGGAAATAAGTCTCTTGTTATATTAGTTCAAGATTTATATATATTTTTTTAATCACAGTTATGATTAAAGTTAAAATATTAAATTTTAAAATATTCCGTGAATGTTTTGATAGATCTAATTTAATATTGTTTTTGTTTTTATGTTTTTATGTTTTTTTATCCTAGTTTTATCCTAGTTTATTTATCCTATGTAAGGAACATTGTTTTCAGTCATTACACTGTACTTTATATATAAATAATAATAAATATATATAAATAATAATAAAATTAGACATAAAAAAGTGTAAAAAATAAATATATGTTAAAATTGAAAGAAAATGTCAATGCTTTTTATATATTCAATTTTTTTGTATTATCTTATTGTCATGGTACAAAATTTCGTTGGGAAAATTTTATATTTTTAAAATTCCAATAAGGTCGACAGAAAATTTATTTCAATATTAATAGGAATATGGCAATTATCCGATATACGCCATAATTGTGACTTTACTAATGTATTACTGATAGACATTATATGTTAATGAAATAATTAAAAAACTGTCATTGTGTCATTCTAAAGAATATGATATAATTGTGAATTGAATATGATATAATATAATTGTATTATATGAATTAGCGTTCCTTAATTTTTCACATTTCCACAAATTTCTTATAATTCGAAAGATAATAAATGTTTTGCAAGAATTTATATATATATATATATATATTTGTAAAAGTCATTAACTTCTTTAATATTTGTTTAGTGAAAAATGTTTATTTTATAACAGCACTTCAGGATTGGTCTATTTTAAAATCGAAATACGGTCAAAGTAGAATAGAGTTGAAGTTTTATATGACATTATATGATTTTCTCAATAAATAAATTGAACGTCATGAACGTCACAATTTTGTTGGAACTATTGTTAGAATAGTTGGAGAAATGTCATATCCAGGAGATCTCGCACTGTAACTGTCACCCACGTCCTTTTTTTCGTGTTCGCGATCGTCTTTGTAACCATCTTCGTGATCGTGCACGTTGTGCAGAGGTGCAGAGAATCCCAAATCTCACCTGTGCCGAGGATGTACGGCGGCTCGGAGGTGTTAACCGCGTGATGATTCTGCAGAAACTCCATCTCTGCGAAATTCTCGACGGCGGCCTATCCCCCAGATGCACACCCCTGCGGCCCACCCCTCCTCTTGACAACCCTCGTCTCCTCTCCCTATGGAAACACGCTATCGCTGGTCCAGCCCTCTTCGGTCGTCCCGGTAACGGCGCGCAGCTTCACTGCGAGCCGCCGCTCGCCATTGATGCTGTTTTTTGCTACACAAAATAGAAATGTAGAAATGGATAGGGGGATATTTTAATTAAATGTGAAAATCAATTTTATTAAGCGAAATGTAGAGGTCGCGAAAGGAGAAGGTCTACAGATCGATATGATTAAAAATATGCACTTTTTGGGAAAAAAATAAGATATTTTTTTAGCTAAAACTGACTTTTGAAATAAAAATATTAATTTTGTTATTGTAAAATTATTAAGGTGCATATTGTATGTTAAATTTGTAAGTAGAAAAATTAGGAAAAATGCAGTTTATATTCGAGGAAGTTAAGATAAAGAATAAAACGTCTTTAATCTTTGATTTGTTTTGAACATGTAGTTAAAAGATTGAAATAATGAAAGATTGATTGATGAAAAAAATCTTTATCTGTCAAAAGTTGAAAAGTTTGCAATTGACTTTTTATAATGTAACATGAGTATAAATGAAATTAAAAGATATTAAAGATTTTTTCCCTCGAAATTTTATTACAGTGTTATTATAATGAGAAAAAAGTCATGGAAAAGGGATCTGAAATGTCAAAAGATTATGTATCTTCTATGAAAGAAGAAAGAAGAGAAAGAAAGAAGAGAAAATAAGTTTAAGAAAGAAATATGGTTCTTTTCGATTATCTTAATGTTCTGATTTTTATAGATATCTCTGGTAAAAATTTATTTTTTTACATTATAAAATATTATTTTAATTTTCTTATTTTATTATTAGTATTTTTTTTAGTAACAAAAAATTGGAATAAATATTTTTTAGCATATGAAACATTGGTGCTAAAATAAATATATACATATATAACGATAATGTAGTTGTATGTTGTAGATTAAGCAAAATTTCTTAGTTTTTTTTTTTTTGCATAAAATATGTCTATATAATATCTTTTTTTCGAATATATTGTTCTTCAACCATACAATATGTTATTGTAAGATGACATTTGTTTTAATATTGAGTGAATCATATATAATTTTTACATCTGTAAGACATATCCTTATCACTGGACCGGCCACGAAGATCGTCCGGATGAATCAATGAATGACTTTTTATGAATGACCGAATGAAGAAGGAAAATGCACGTGCATACGGCTCACCACGTGTACCTTTATGGCTTGGAAGACCTGCCAGTCCCTGTTAGAGGCTTCTGCAGAAAACCTGTCGTCGGATATTCCCATTCACAGAGCCACGATGTCTGCATCTTCTCATATGATCTTTACATCCTTGCCTAAATATCTTTATACTCTTACTCTAGTCGATCGTATAATCTCGATTTTCTCGGATTGTTAAATTATCCTTGTTTTTATTTGTGTTTTACAGTCCCTTCAAAATTGTACAGCGAATTTCTATCATGCTTTGTAACACAACAACACTTGGTAGGAAAGAAAATCTTTAGAATAAGTTCCCAAAGTTTTTAATTATTATTTATATTTTCATAATTTCAACATCAATCAAATTCGATTTTTCTTGCTTTATTTCAATGTCTCATTATTTCACAATGTTCCGATGTATATTTTGATGTATACTTTGTATTTACTTTTTATTTTATTTTAATTTATTTTTATATTTTGAATTATAACCTGACTTTTTCTAGTGTCTTCTTTGCTTTTAGTAAAATATTTTTTTATTACAAAAATATTTAATATATCTCCTTGCAATATTTTCTTATAAGATTTAAAATTTGAAGTTAGAAATCATTTAAATCAATTTTTTATTCTAAATCAATTTGCTTTAATTAGATTAAATTATTAAACTATTTGTGACATTAATTGCAACTTTAATTATCCGTTAGGTTTTTATGTTGCTATTTTCTATTAATTTATCACTTGTTTATTTTGTAAATTTCTTAAATACTTCCTGTATCACTTCTAATCACGTAGTTTTAATTTGATTCAGGACGTAATAAAAAGCTTATCCTTTGCATTATTAACACACTTCACTGTCGCTTGATATCTCCAAACTATAATTGCTCTTCCAATGAAATTATTCAATTATTTTTAATAAATAACTTGTTTAAAACGATTAATAAGATTCACATAGAAAGTCTTCCACTTTAAGTCGTCTTGAAAAGTACCTCCGACTAAATCTTAAGTAACTAAACGCAACTTTCGGACGCGCGAACTCTTGGAGACACTGCCATGCTGGCGGGATGGCATGTCAATGTCTCTTGGCTAACTAGCGATCTACCACCTATCCACCACCCACTCTCTCACCCCTTAGAGCGGCTCACTGACTACGTACGTACCACCATCCGACCCCACTCCACTGTGCTCTCTATCCTTTTTTTTTCCCTCCTTCTATCTCTGTCTTGATCCCCCTTTCTCTCTCTTTGTCGTTTCTTCTTTTACCAACTGTAGCCACCATATATCGTCGTCGGGTCTTTCGTACCCCTACTTGTATAAACTAACCACTATACAGTGACA